GGACTTCAGATCTGAAACCAACTCCCAGCAGACACCGTTAACGTTGTGGGTACCATCAACAACAACGGCCTGGAGTCCTTCAATGTCAGCTTCACCGACATCTCCTCCTTAAATGAGAACACCTGGCAGCTGTAAGACATTGACTTCCCACTAAACTGTTTCCTATGTACAATCAAGTGTGTATTGCTCACCACAGCATAATATAAAAAAGGCAATTCGAACTACTCTACGTACATTACACACCATTGAACACGGCTAGTATCCCCAACAGAGTTATGCCTAATAGCATTTAATGGCAAAATGTGCCAACTCATAATGGTTAACTATCCGCAAAAGGCGCATAAAAATTGTCAGAGCTCTACCTTACACATTCAACAGCGTTTGGAATCCTAAAGCATGTCTGTTACAGAAATCTATAATGTAAGCATTCAGTCCACTTCTATGTTGGAAATGCGAGGTCCGCAAGCATTAAATGGTAATTTTTTTCAAAAAGTAACTTTTTTTACAGACTTCTGGGAAACTCTCTGTTTTAAGACGGAAAATTGTAACTCTCGAGATGAAAAATAATGAATCGAATGTTGTCCCTTGTCCTTGAGAATTAAATTATCCTAATGCTTCGCTAGGTAATTGTCTACAGACTAAAGACTCTTGAAGTCTGCGTCTTCAACGTCAATCATATTTTCCGGTTTGAGCGACGCTAAGTGCATTACAGTATGCTTTGCCTTCATCACTGTTTGCCCTTTATAAAGGTCATATCATGTCTTTCAGGCTGTTTAAGACGTATTTATAAATAAGTGAAAACAAAGTAGAGAAATGTTAGTGCTGCTTAATGGCATATCATCTTCTTAGAATTAGTTCCAGTTCTTGGAAACTTCAACGCTCGGTATTTTGATTTTAGTTTATTCTGATTCAGATTCCACGCTGAGTATATCTAGAGGGATTTCGAAAAGGTCATATTTTCATCAAGCTGGCGTCACTCAACTTCAGAAAAGGTCATCCGACATGGCTGTCAGCTCTTAAGGACATTCTCATCTCTAAAGCGGGTTTCCAGTACTAACCATCATTGTCTTTTCGGCCACTGGGCGATTCTTTAGGGATCTGTCTAGTTCGCAGCAGGGTCCCCGAAACCCAGGAGGTTTGACAGGGTGGATTGTTTCAGTACGCTTGACCCCCTTGACCTAGATCATGAAATTCTCTGACCTTCTGGCGATCAATAGATTCGGCTGAAAGTCGTTGGCTGTGTGACGCCAACTTAAATTGTCACTTGCCATGCATCCTGCTTGCTGAATACTGATTACCAGCGCAATCACTTTCAGGAGTCACAGTCGGGCACGCAGACTACAGATGACAAGAGTAGTTCTAACAAGACTGGCAATAAAAACATACATTGCTATGGCGACGGTGGTTGATGTTAGGCTTATTGTTTGCATGGCACTGCCATCATTTCATGATTTTGAGGAAGAAAGATACAGTGCACTCCTCCCCCGAGTGTATAGTGAACGAGCCCCGGGGTCACAGAAAGTAGGGTCATCCGAGACAGACAGGTCTTCTGGGTCTTCCCAAGGGTTTCCAGGAATGTGGGCATAAATGAGGGTCAGAGACATGCCTGTGGACATTCCATTCCTGTGGACAAAATGCCTGTACCATTCCTAGAATTCTTGCAAAATGCACACAATACTGTACCATTAGGCTCCTCCCTGAGACGTCACCAAAAACATTTTCATGACGTATGGATATGAACGTATTGTTCAGGATGGCTGAGCTGTAGATTTGTGTATCTGTCCTGTACGCATACACAGTAGGAGGACAGTACAACGGCATGGGAATAGATTAAGAGACAAATTGAATTGACAGGGGCTCAGAAGGTCGCGAAAACTCAAAATCGTAAGTCTGTTGAGATTTCTTTGTTAAATGGGTCCACAACTTGCCGTGACAAGAATGAGTTTCATCGGATCCCGATATGATTTCACTCACTCACTATGATATGATTTGCTACTTCGTAAAAGTCTCAGATGGTTCCTCCTTTGGTTGGTAAGGCCATGTTGATTTGATTATATGGATGACATCCTCTGGGAACCCCAAAAAAGATGCGCGCGTGCGAATAAAAAAAAAGTTTTGCAAAAAAAAAAGTTGCCTTCACTATGAAATCTACGTGGTCATGAAGGTTGAACAAATGGCCCAGAATATGTTATGGCGAATAATCCACTCTTCGAATTCATTTCTTTACATTTTTGTCTTTTTTCCTTTGATTTTGGCATTCTACGACATTGGTATCGTTTCTAAATGTTTTCCTTGCAACTTATGGTATATTTTTGCTCATGTTGCAACTGTTTTTGCACGATTTACAGTATGGTTGAAAACTTTTTTTTTTTTGGAAACGGCCGAAAATTCATGCGCGCGCGGATGTCATCCATATAATCAAATCAACATGGCCTAACAAGTAAATCAAATTATCGCGAGGATTTCAAGCCGTGGCCTCTCTTGGAAAGGGCTCCTTGAGAGCACGGCAGTGATGGTGCTGCCTTGGGAAATTCAATTTGAGGGATCTCCAAGACTAATTAAGAATCATTTCTGACGACAAAGATGTGGGCGATACTATTAAGCTCAGATTTGAGGGACATCTTCTAAGGTGGTGCTTATTAGAATTAGTGTTGACTGTTATGAATGGTGGAAATATACTATTAATTTTTATGAGTGATTTTTAACAAGTAGAAATTCATTTATCGTCTTTCGGTGACGAACTGATTGCTCTCCAATTTAATGTGTCCTCTTCAAAACTTCCTTTAGCTTCTGAACGAATTTTTTTTTTAACAAAGGAGTCAGATCAGGTATAGACTTTGACGCAAAAAGCAAAAATACGCTACTATTTATACCAAAAACGCAACATGTAGCCTGGCTTTCTTCTTCAATTACTTTTTGGTCGATAAGTTTGATTTACTGCACCAGTAATGACTTGAATTATAGATAAAGGTGTACCAAACCATATTTTCGTGTTATTTGTGAGCTTGCCAGAGATGGTTATGCGGAATATTGCGTGAGAATGAGAATATCTCATAAAAACTATTTATCAAGCTAGAAATCCCTCATCCAACCCCAGGTGTCGCTGATTTATGTGCGACAAGATTAGTGCTGAAGTTCAGTGTTCATTAAGGTAGTCATTACTATAAATCAATGCCGTTATGTACATGGAGACAAGCTCGGCTAAAGAAGGCGTATTTTTCACCAGAGGCGCCGTATATAGACACTTTGTACACTTTCAAAGGAACATGAGAAAAGACAAATCCTTACATTTCGAAGGATCAAAATGTGTTTTACCAATCCCCTTTATCTGTAGTCTAGCATGAAGGCGTTTACGCCATACGGTCTCAAATGACCGGATGTCTCCAGGCAACGCCAGACAGTTGTCAGGAAAAGCAATCTCCTGTATTGAGCCGTACGGTTTTTTTTTTAAGTGTACCTTTATCAGCGTAAGTAATAGGGACGGGCTTCTCAGCATGTCCAGGAAATGGGTATATTTTGGAAATGTAGTTCCTAGTAAGTGAATGAGTAAGTAGTTGCTAGGCCAAATGTACCCTTTTGGGTGGCAACCCTCCGTTACAACGCCTGACAAGGTATTTATATAAGATTGTCAATATGCCCGGTTCCGAGTTAATATCCGTGATGCCGGCCGGCTACGTCGAGGTTATTTTTCATTAACTATCTATTCATCTATGAATCAAGAGTTCAAAACGTTGGGCCATATTTGGATTCAGGTCCCGTTTCTTTGCGCTGATCTTTATCGGTTTTGAGCTAAGAGGATATAGGGTGACGTTTGCAAGCTTTTGAGATTTCACGGAGTACAACATACGTCGTCAAAATGACGTGAGCAGGGACCCGTTTATAATAGTATTACGGCTCTTCTGGTGTTTATTGTATCTCCATCCAAACTCCAGAAACGGTCTCTAATGAGAATGGGATCCTTAAGACCAACCTGCACCTGGGATCGCAATTAATAAGTCGCGGGCAATGCCCTTCTTGGATGAGCCAAGCGGGGGTTTACCAGAGATTGAACCGTACATGGAACTAGGGCGGGGATATGACCGCTTATAACGCTGTCAACCACCAACGAGAAATCCAATCTGTGTATCCAGCGGGACGATCTAAGACCTGTGTGGGATAGAACAGCGTCTTTCAATGAGGTCGACGTGGGGGCTAATTTACATATAGAGCGGCAGAATATATCAGGATTAAAGTTGAGGTACAGCTGCAGGGAGCATTATGAAAAACTTAAACTTTTCTCCAACTCAGAATTTGACTCACCAGAATTCATAATGTAATTTACCAACTCAGATGAACTTTAATGCTGATGCAGGGAGCATAGTTGTAGCATGGCGACGCGTATTAATTATTGTATCAGTGGGGAAGTTTACACCTGACGCTAAGTAACCTTCCATTACAATTCTACAAAAAATACCATGAGGGGCCGGCATCGTTTACCTGATACCTCCGACCCAGTGTCGATGTCACATTTCAGAAAGGTCGACTTGAGAACCATGTGTTGGAACAAACGTTTGAACTTTAAAGATATAGCTACCAATACAGATGAACTTTCATGATATCATGATCTGCTGAAACGGGGCAATGATACGTGATACGGCTCAATGTAAAATTCAAGTCATGCTTTATAATTGTCGACAGTCGTGATGTTACGTGTATCACTGGTATTACATGTCAGACGAATTTCCCTGAGGACATTTGTGGCCTAAGGCTGTTCTCGTCAAGCGTTTCACGTGGGTTTGTACACGCCTACACGGGACACACACACACACACGCACGGAAACATAACCTCCGGCGGTAAGCAAGCATTCCCTCTGCCCGGGACTTTGAATCTGTGTCTACCTTGTCGGAAAGGAAAGCTTACTCCATGCAGTCCGCACCCAGCGCTGTTCGTTACATAACGTCAATATAGCCATTAGTTGCTAAGTACCGCTCTTCGGTCACATTGTCAATACAGGTGTGTTCTAAACCTGTTAGCACAAACGATCCGAGTCCTTCTCAACGCCTGAAGAGCAGAGCTAGCTGGCAGCAGATGGTGCGGAAGTGGGCGGTGACTTAACCTGCTGCATAAACATGTCATGAAGACGGCGCCTGGTCATTCGTCTTGCACGCCGCCGTACGTACAGAAGCTTTTCTTATTCTACCGGGGAGGAGATGAATTGACAAGATAATCAGAGTAGAACTCCAAGAAGGTGACAAGTAGCTGCTTACATCAGGCGGTGGACGCGCAAATCTAGCCCTGCCGTAACGGCTCTGTGCAAGGTGACAGAAAGGCACGACATAAGGTATTTTCAGTTTTTATCTTATCTAGGACTAGCAGGGGATTAGGTATTCTTGTGGGAATTAGATATTTTGAGGTAAAATTATGCTTCTTTGTACTTATTTCTGTTTCTTACCAAAAACCTTTGTTAGTCACGTACATACAATCCTTAAGATTTGACATAGAACATATGGTCATTTGATTGAATATGCAGAGTTTGGTTTTCCTTCGCAGATAGAGCGTTTCAAGTGGTATTAGGTATCAAAGCTTTGCCGTTGAATATATCAGCATTTGGTCAGCAGCCTGATAACTGATGTTTGCATGGATTCAGGTCACTCCCTGTACTGCGTAATGCCTGGCGTTCCTCCCAGACCACAAGATAACTTAATTGTTGTATTTGATCTTCCTTATCGATCTATGACTTTGCTTCTGCCAGTGAGGGCCTAAGCGAGGAAATGAGCAAACTATCGCATAGATCCACTGAAGAAACATGTTGTACTTTTATACTAGCAATGGGACGTACAAGAAACATGAATATTCCGGAGCCGATCATGCTAACATGAATTTCAAAGATTCTTGAAACTAGCAACTCAATCAATGTACCGGATTAATTATTCGGCACTAGTTGCTTTTTCCATCATTTCATTACCTGGAGCATCATAGACGAAATCATGAAAGACACGAAACCATGACTTCTCCATATGCAGTGCACTGTGTTATATTGCAAACACCAATGGCGCATACTCATTAATATAACAAGTAAGCATGCTTTGCATTTCAGTGCCCTCACAATATACATTAGTTGTAATTTTACAGCGATTTTCTTAAGCGGCACATACACATGTCTACTCTAGGGTTTGAAGTTTTTTAGTGCATCGAGTCTCCTGAAAGCTTCAACACCGATTGCCGTTTCTGTCATATTGATCTGATTGTGAAAGAGGAATAATGCTTGTGCAGACTGCACGACTCCGGAACTAAGAGTCCGATCTTTTGCCCTTGGGAAAGGCACTTTACACGGCTTTCCTCACTTAGCTCAGGTGTAAATGAGTATTGTCCTGTCATGTATTTGTCCCCTGTGTTGGTGGCGGCATTAATATAAGTTGAAGAAACTTGAGTGTGTCGTCACCACGTCTGGTGATTACATGTTGGAATAAATTAAAAAAAAAATAATGCTTGGAAATACCCCTAGGTCTTTTACTGGATCCGGTACATTTTCTGCCCCAAAGGTTCATACGTACGTGACAAATGTAACACAGGGTTTTACAATGCACAAAGGCAGCCCGGTACTTAGTGTCAGTGATGGTTGAGTTCAGAGAATCTGATGTCTCAAGCATGATTCCCTAAAGTGGTTTTCCATGGGCACTATCCATGTCTATTATAGTTAAGCTCTGAAGTTGCGCCCGTCTAGACGCTTCTAATGCTGAGGTCACATTTCCAAGCCGGGGCCCGGCAATTTTTATCAAGAATATACACAAATAGTTCCATTGATGATATTTCTTAAGTGTTTTGTGCGTTGTTGTCTTTTATACCATATTTTTCGTCACAAAAGACAGCCCGGCCGGGCCCCGGTTTGGAAATGTGACCTAAGCATAAATGTCCTCTGATAACTACAAGCACGTTCGTCTGTCATGATTATTTCATTGTTGAAGGAGCATGCATGCGTAGCTCTTTCACGAGTACATACTGAAGGTTCATACGTGACCTATTTCACACCTGGTTTCACAAAGGCAGTTTTTGTGTTCATTGGCAATGGTACATGTCATTACGAGGATCAGTAAAGGCAGTCGAGACTGGTAACGACTGACCAACGAGATACAGACATTATACAAAGTAGGAAGAATTTAAAGTAATCTACTGTAGAAGTACAAGTACTGCAATAGAATTACAATTCAAACTAGAGAATACTGTATACAGTTCAATATACACATACGATACAGTGCAAGAATAGCAATATAAGATAAATCTAAAACCATTCATAACCTAGCAGCAATGTGCGCTACATAGTTTTATTGAAGACCGACTACTATCTTCCAAGGCCTTCCAAATCTCCAGCCTTGCCTAATGTCCATCGGGCAAATCTCTATTCAAGGCCAGTAGCCAGAAATAGTTCTTCGATGTATTCTGGACTAAGTCTTCTCTTTGGTTGAGTACGTTCTTGTGTATGCGTCAAGCTAAACAAACATAACAGTTTTGGATAGGCCATTTCCACACGTTGCCTGTGTGCAAGACATTCAACAGCCCAAAAAGAGTGCAAAATGTTGGAACGAAACAACTACCAGACAGGGGACACTTGCGCCGTGCATTGTACGTGAAGACAAATTACCCCTGTTGTGATTGTTTCGTTTTGATGACCATGAAGGATCACCCTAGTGTAAAACCGCCTCAGTCGCTTGTTTTTTTTCCGGTCCTTTGGGAGCTGGTGTGTGCTGCTAATGGCAAAAAAAATCAATATTTTTTTGCGATTGAAAAATACGGTCTTACTCCTAACTAGTACCGCAGGCTAATGAGGGTTACGAATGGCTATTGGCTGGATCATCTTTCTGCAGGACAATTAATCCCGGACTGATATTTGAGGATTAAAGGCAAAGTCACTTGTGTCTTGGGTGACAAATCCTTGTAAGGTTTGTTGCAATAATATGAAATATTTATTTTATCTATTTTCTTATTTGAAATGTGCAGTATATTGATTAACTGTCAGCAAATACTCATGGTATAGTCTGCTGGTGTGTGAATGAAAGGGTCATTACACAAGAGATGTATGAACAGGTTAGGAAATGAAAGGTAAAAAGACTGCGCTATTTCTGAAGGTCACCTTACAAAGCTAATATTCAAGATCCACAACTTTTACCCTGGAATCCATTTGAAGTATACGAACCACAAATTACAGGGCGGTAGGATGGGACTGCATCATGTACACAGACTCTCAACAATACAAGAAGAACCTTCTTTGATGTGAAGGACGGTTGGATATTCGAATCTTGAGAAAATTACTGCCATGGGCTAATGTAATAGACTTATATCTTGCTAGTGCCTGTAATCTACGTGGTAAAAAGGTTGCAAGGCTGCAGATATGGCAATTTTCTTTGGTCCAATCACGCCTAGAATATAAGTTTCCGTGTAAACTTCATACGTTTTAAAGCTATAATTCATAAAGTGCAATTTTCCAAGCCTGAATGTTTGCCAAGGTTAGCCATAAATAGTTCTGTTAAGTGTATTGCATTAAGGTTTATGTGGTTCCTCTTCAATTGGTTTAAGTGAGAGCGGCGTTTTATCCCTCCGTTTGCAGAGATGCTTGTGATTTTATGGTAAAATGTGAGATAAAAACTTCAAAGCACTTCAAAGCACTGAATCGGATGGGGAATGGTCGTTAATGATGTTCTTTATCATGTTGGACAATGTCAATGATTATTCAACTACAACCTTAAAGCACAAACATCTATAAATACCTCCATACTTGCACAGTCTTGTAGCCACTTGCAAATTGGTTCTCTAAGCTACATGTACACTTGAACAGACGGCATATCGTTTATTGGACGTTTTTGACAGGGGGGCGACGTGACAGAGATGTTTTCAGAATAATTAATCGCGTTTTAGGGAGTAGAAGAAGAAGAAGAAGGTCTCCCGTGCTCTTACCCGAGCGTAGGGTGGTGCCCATCTCCATTTCGTAGCCCTTGGGCGACACACCATTGTGCAATGCACTACAGCAGGGGGCTAGTCCGCTGGTAGTGCTGTGTGTTTGACCTTCCCACACTCTTTGTCATATGTGCTGAGTGCTAAGCAGAGAAAGAAGTGTGTACCATTTTTAAAGTCTTTGGTATGACCCGGCCGGGGTTTGAACTCACGACCTCCCGGTTACAAAGCGAGCACTCTACCAGTTGAGCTACTGCACCGGTTTTATGGAGTGCTCACATGTAATACCTTTGGTTCCGTATAAATAATGTCCTAACGGAAATTGATTCTACTGCAACTTTAAGCCCGCTGCACAGTGTCGACTTAAGATCAACTGCCTAGTGGATAAATTCTGTGTCTGTAGGCGGACAGATATTATACAGGGATCTTTTAATATATTCCGCCTCGGGCGTTAGACTCAAGAAGAGAGCTGACAAAACATTTCTTTGGCGCGCGTTTTCTGTCACTTCAGCTCTCAATATCCTATTCTTCTAAAGGTTGGGGAAACAAAATTGGTATTAGGAGCACGATCATTGATGGCGCTTTCGGTGATTGTTCCAAAGTCAAATAAGGAAGTAAGTAATGACCGGATGAACATGCGAGCAAAGTCAATGGAATTTTCATTAGCACGTAGTTAGCGAGCGGAAATAAACATTTGGCTTTCACTTAGACTAAAGAAGCATAGCTCATTAAAAAGTAACCTTAATTAAAAGGATTCTTTTAAGATTCAATATCAAATTATTGGTGTTGGCATCATTCTGCAGCAGATGACACATCTTGGAACACGTGAATGGGGAAAACATGCACAGGGAAGAAGCAAGACCTACTGTATGCAGGTTTTTTCTATTCTCCAAATCCAACCTGCAAGGACGTAGTCAAAATAGGCCATTAAGACTCCATTTTTAACAGGAAAAAAGTAGGATTCTACCATTAGGCAGAGCACTGAAGTTGACCCAAGCGTGCGTAATCATCCTAAGTTGTTTTCGCCATACTAGTACTGTACCCATGGGAAAGCCTTTTTGGTATGCAACAAAATGGCAATGATTTAGAGGACACCGACAGAAGTATTATAGCTTATAGTAAATGAGGCGTAATGTTGCAAGCCTTGCGTTATTTTATCGCTACTTCCACGGTAAATGCTCCGTGAAACTTCATTCGCTAGTGCCCCCACTTCGAACACTCTCAGCAAGGACATGTCTTGCCACTTCCACTGAAGCGAATGACCCTTTCTTCCATTCATTCATTCATCCATTTCATTCACCACCTCTTAGGAGGAAGTTCCACGCTGAAAGCTTCTTTCCCAGAACAACATCATTTTATAAGCTACCTCGTGATTGTTTCCGTTATGAGTATAAC